ACACACACACACACACACACACACACACACACACACACACACACACACACCAGGCAGGCCATAGCGCACATATGCCGCACCGGACGAGGAAACAGCAGGAACTTCTAGATGTTGATATCAAGTTGGACGCCACCGGAGCGCCGCAGCAGAGCTTTCATTTATCTGCTTTGTCAGAACCACTTCAGTTCTGATTTATTCATGAAGCGCTTTTATATCAAACAGGTCTGTCATCAAGTGGCTCACGGAGAATAAAGAACGTAAAGACGAAAAGATTTAAAATGACAAATGATCCGAGACGAAGCCTTTGAATTAGTGTTTTTTAATCCCACGGCACAAAAATACCTACAGGAATTTCTCCTGGTGGAAGAGGCACGCACTCGTCTTCTGCTTTATTTATATTTGCAGCAACATCAGGCTCTTATTTAATATCTGACATGTGGCCCACTGCTAATTAGATGCAGATTCTTCTATTTTCTTGTTGTCTTTGTTCATTTAATTGTTTCTTGCAAAGTAATTCTTTAAAAATGGTCCGAGCCTGGCTTAATAGATTTCAACACAGACACATTTTCAGCATTTTCTACTCGTATTTGAGACTTTTGTAGTCCTGTAATGTTGTAAAATGCTGCTTTGGAGCCTTTTTCATTAGATGATTAGACATTTTTGGCATGATAATAGTTAAAAATTGCACTTGTTGGCACCTTGTACCTCCCTTTATATAAAACCCTAAATTGAATAATGAATCTTTTTGAACCGAAATTCCCAGGAATTAATCACATGCATTAAAGCGTCTTTAAGAGCATGTGTTTCTGCATCTTTACCACAACTGAAGGACTGTGAGAATTAGTCAGATTAGACAGATCACACATTAAAAAGCTACAGTTCTGTCTGAAACATCGTTGCTGTGCATGTGACAACAACAGCACGGTTGTTGTTCCCGTTTTAATTTGTTGCTGTGTGACTTAACTGCCGTATGAAATATGCAAAGCAGCTGTGTGAGCATTTTGGAAGCTTCAGATGTGGTTTTAGCATTTGAAGGAAAACCAGGTGCCTTTTAAATTCACTGTAATTCACCTGGTGAATGTAAATCCACGTATGGATTCAGCAGGAATAATGTTGTACTGTTCATATTGGAAACTGCCTCAGAAGTAGGGACGAACCGAAACTGAAATGTTCCTGCAGTCAGCATGAAGGTGAAGTTTGTTTTCAGGTCACATATTTTACACTTTCCTGCTGTTTTATTTCAAGTTTTGATATAATAAGAAGATTTAAGAACCCAAAACCATCTCAGTGTAGTTTGACATCTTCCTCTCTCAGGCTTCTCTCTGGAGCTCTAGTAACAACAGGTCGGTGAGCCAATCAGAAGAGAGGAGGCTCTGGAGCCTCTCTTCTGATTGGCTGACTGTTTTCTGAGTGATTAAATAAAAAATATAGCAGATTTGAGGGAAACACCGAGAGAAGCCAAGGCGGGATGGTGTGACTGGGCTTAGCATGGCTGAGGATAGTGACTGCTTTGTTGTGACATCACAAAGTTACAGAAGTCCTGACGGCTCGTTTGAAGGCTCAGTTTCTAAATACAGGCTGTGTGCATTTCTCTGTGGACTGAGCACTGATACTTTCACAGTATTAATATAGAACCTAGACCTGCTTTATGATTTTATAAAAAGACCCTGAAGTCTCACTTCACCTTAAAGGTTCCTTCAGGTTGCTTCATTAGGTTTCACTGTCAGATGCAGGGAAGCACACGGGAGAAACTGGCCCAGTTTGATTTCAGTCTCAACTCAAACTGCACTTCATCTTTACTCACATGCAGGTGAAGGTGACTGACTAACTCCCCGTTTCACATTCACTCACTTCCACATGTTCTCACCTGCGAACAACCACAATCCACAACCACACTTTTTTAGGAATTTAGAAATGCTCATTCGCCAATTGGGAATTCCTCTCGTTGCACATTTCTCTGTGACACACTCACATGAGTCCATTTCAAAGAACTGTCTCCTGTCAAGTTGATCAAACCTGTGACCTCACGTTACAGGGCTTTCCCCCCGAAAGATATAACAAGGCCGCTACAGTCTCCACTAAATCTGTCCTGAAAGGTTGTGCGGTGGCACACAGTGAAGCCTTTCAAACCAAATCCACTTTTATTCAGAACAGCTTTTTTTTTTCCACACTCACATTCAAATCTACATTTCAAAGTGCAGGATCTGAAGCAGAAACAGATATTTTGTCATTGACGCTGACCAGAAAAAGGGGGCTTTGCTCTGTTGTGTGACACCTGAGACATGGAGTTATTTTTTCCTTTTTTTTTTTAATGTATGAGGGATATATCTTTGTTTTGTTTTGTTCTTTCAGTAAATTGCATTTGTTTAGCCTCCGGCGGCGTTAACATCCAAGCGTTGCACAAATGTTCTTCCTATCTGTTTTCCCTGGATCAAAGCAAAAGAATTTCTTTTTACAACAAGATCACTATAAAATGCACTGCCTTGCTTTGCTGTTAACAAATCCTAATTAAATTAGCTGTAATGTCAGATTCATAAAGAGGCTTCAAGTAAATTGTAGAAATGTAGGGAACATTAACAGATATTTCATGTCCAAAGTAAAACGTGTTTAAAAGGCGAATTTGCACTATTCACAATTCAGAATACTGGCTGATATTTAAAGGGCTAGTTCACCTAGTTTCTAAATTTAAGACATGATAAAACTGCATGGTTAGACACCACCAGGTGTAAGTGAGACATATGGGTGAACTAACACTTTAAACAGGAAATATGTGCCTAATACAAAGAAGCAATTCCAGTCAAGCCCCGGTGCTGCTGCGTTCAGAGCTGCCAGGGGAGGTTGTGCTCGAGCGTTCAGGCCCCATAAAGCCAAAGTGAGCTATGAGTCTCTGGAGATTATTATATCTACCTCATAAAGCCCAGTTCCCCATGTTTAAGACCTGAAGATATTCTAAGACCTATTTTTTTTTCTTCCTTTTCTTTCACAGAGGTCATAAGTAATACAAGAAAGTAGCGAGTCATTCATGCTGGGTTTAAATTTATGCTCTCTGCACCGTCGCCTCACTGTTTTTCTTCTTTTTTCCTGAATGGGTCTTTTTGTTAGAATAAAAAAAAAAAAAAAAAAAGTGTTGTAAATATCGTTGTCAAAGCCGGAGGCCACGCAGAGAGGCTGCACAGCCACGTTAAGCACATTATTGATTTAACATCTCCACTAGTTTTAATGGGTGTAATAAGACAGAGAAAACAATTCACAACTCATCTATTCAGTTCACTTTATTTAAGAAAACCCTTTCAGGGCTGAGTTACTTTCTTGCTCACATGTGTATTTCACACATGTAGCATGCAGAACCCATTGACTTAACATTCATTATTCATTCATTATTTCATTATTTTAGTATCTCCATGTTTGGGGGTTTTCATCACTGGTGCGAGGGAGTTTTTTCCCTACCTGAAGTGTAGTTTAGGATTTTGGTTTTGATGATGAGCAGACATGCAGACATGTCGCAGAGGGACTTTTGGCGACGTTACCTGCCGGTTCACCCGCATAAGCAGCACCTCCGTCTGTCTGCGAGGGGTGCGTTCGTCTCCCCGGCTGGTGTTCGTCTGCACCAACAGCCTGCCTCACACTGAAAGAACGCATCTATAATTTAGATCACCTATTATGTATTCCCCGTGAAGATTGTCTCGTCTGGGCCGCCGCTGATTTTCAACTTTGCCTCTCAACTCCAATTTTCTAATCTCAGTTCGAGGCTGTCTGCGAGAGAGAGGGAGCTGCGTTCACGTTCGCTGCCTGTCAGCGAGCCTCCGTAACGCTGCTGCCCTCTCAGCGGGTCAGCAGTGGGTGTGTTTGCCATCATAAATCACGCTCTTAACACACCTCATTCAGTGTTTCCCATGGGTGGGTGGGTGTGCGTTTGTGCGTGCGAACAAGCGCGTGTTGTGTGCTCTGTTGCCCGAGCAGCTCGTTCAAAGGCTTCAGCTACACTCTTGCATATGTGAAAGTATGCAGGCAGTTGTGTGCTCGTAAGTGTCCTTGTGTGTGTCCTTCTTTTGAATGGTTGCCAGACCGACCAGAGTGTGCATGAGGTGTTGTGTGTGTGTGTGTGTGTGTGTGTGTGTGTGTGTGTGTGTGTGTGTGTGTTTCTCCCTGATGGCAGTGATGTGTAATTGAGGTCGGGATGAGAAGACACCTCTGATGGAGGGACGGGCGGAGACACAAGGGGACCCAGTGTTTATATATATCCAGACGTGTCCCTCCATCTTTCCTCCGTCCTCAGCGGAGGCCGGCATCCTTAGTGGAGCCAGTAAACATGTTGATTTTTCCCTGTCTCTGACCAAGCTGGCACACGGAGCTCCTGGAGTAAATGAGCTGGTGTTTGACAGGGAAGGTTGAAAGGGGGGGGGGTCCATTCCCACACAGCCCAGATCTGTCGTCTTCTTCATGCTGGAATAAAAAGTCGCACTTTTCTTACTTCCAGAGGTAGATTAGCCGATAGCTGGCCAATGGGTCAGTGGTTAACTGAGAAAAATCTATGATTATTAATAACATGGAGGAAAAGGGAAGAGGGTGTTTAAACAAAATATTAAACTCTTATTTATTATGATAATACAATCTATACCTGTGGGGAGTTTTTCTACAGTAATGATTATAATGTGTATTTAACAGGCTGCTACAAACACTCAATTTCATTGTTGATTACTCTGTTGTTTAATTCATTTTTCAATCATTTACTTCATAAAATATAATCTCTAAGTCAAAGTATCTCATCATACAGATATAAAGATGCAAATCTTCACATGTGAGAAGCAAGATGAGAGAATATTTGGCATTATTACTTGATTTATTCCCATAATTCATCTGTATATTTCAGCCTTTGTGACGTAAAGCATTTGAATTAAGATGTATTCAAAGATGTGGTCCAAATCTGAACACAGATGTAAAATTATTCATTAAGTTCAATCTTTTCTCATGAACCACTATTTCTTTCTCTTTGTGTGCAGACTCTGTGTCCAGCGAGACAGCCTTCCTGGAGGACTATGTTCTGGGCATAGGGGACACACTGGAAATGTCATGTGACCTGGAAGACCACTCAGAGCCCGTCGTCTGGTTCAAAGACGGCATAGGATTGGCGCCGAGCAACCGGACACGGCTGGGTCAGAGGATGTTGCGCATCATCAACGTGTCGTACGAGGACTCGGGCGTCTACTCGTGCCGGCTCGCCCACAGCAACACGCTGCTCAGCAACTACACCATCAGGGTGACAGGTGAGAGGAAGTTGCTGTGTTCACAATTAATGTCCACTCTACAACCATAACCTTTGATCAGGTGTCATGTACGTGGAAATTACTTCAGATTAAGGCGTCACAAGCCAGTAAAAGTCAACAAACACTGCATTTCCAACAAAAGCAAAGTCACTGTTTCCTCTGCAGCGATGTGCATTTGCACCAGTATACTGCTGAATTCACCATAGATTAAATGCTTTGCTGCATGCTGCAGGATGCAAGTGTAAAAGTGTAAGAGATACGAATCATATTTTCAGTGACGGTGCCCTTTAAATCTGGGACATACTCATTTTAAAGCCACTTGAGTCACTACGAGAGCTCGAGTGGAAACCGACTCTTTGGCTGCACGCTGTGGAGCTCTCCGAAAACTGACCTGCCTTATAGTTTTTCAGCCCGTCTGACAGACAACCGAGAATCAAAGTATTTCCTATCAGTAAACACGGTTGAGCAGTTACAGCAGTGACGTCTCGACATGACAGCATTTCAGAAGAAAACAATGAAAACTTAGCTCAGGAGGAAAGTTCTATTATCCCTTCCTTCTGCTCGGCTTCAGCTCCCAGTTAGCTAAATGCACACAGACACACACACACACACACACACACACACACACACACACACACACACCGGTATACATTCACCGGCTGACACCCGGCCAGGTTTCACACAGATTCCCCCTGCTGATGCACAGTCGAAGGTGAAATTAATTATCGTATGAGGGAACGTTTTCAACAAGTGTGTGATGCAAAATGAGCTCTAATAGGAATGTAGGAGGGGCGGGGGTGGAGCTGTGTGGGGGGGGGGCAGAAGGGGAGGGGGGCAGTAGCTTAACAGTCGGGTGGCTTTTCCCGTAAAACTCATGGACACCAGCTGAAACTGTTATTGACAACTAATTAGAAAGCAATTAGCGCAAAACATTTCATCATTGAAAACAGATGGGGTGGCAAGAAATGAGAGAGTTCACTCGCTCTCAACCCACCCCCCGTCCTCCTCACACACACACACACACACACACACACACACACACACACACACACACACACAGATGCATGTGTTTGGCTGCAAGCCGGGAAGAAAATGGCCTTTTCCAGGACTGATCAGACATGGACAGCCTCTCCTCATGGACCCACATATCAGCTCCAGTCTGCAGGAGGACACATTCACACAACGCACTCCCCACACCACTTTATAATTTAAAATGAACAAACCATCCATCTCTCCAAGTCGTGCTCAGCTTGTGAAATCAGATTTTGTTTTCTTTAAACAAGTGCAAAAATTGAGGTGAGAGAACTGCTTCTGCTTCCAGCTCAGCTCAGCATGTTTCATGAGTAAAAACCACACGGGAAGTGAATTCATCGCAGCCTGTTGTCAGACATTTTCATATCATTTTAACACTCATGTACATGTTTAAATTACCTATAAAGTCAGAATTTTTACAGTATGTGGCGGCAATATCCTGTTCTCCCCCCTGCCGAAACCGCCCGTTCTCCTCCCTCTATTCTAAACACAGCCTCAGCTCCATCTAAAACACACACAGACTATTGTGTTTTTCCTCAAATATTTGAGTAAGGTGTCAGATATTTAGGAGCAGTATCAGATTTAGCACCTGGACGGCGTCCAGACAGCGGAAAGCAGCCAGATCATATTGTACACACACACACACACACACGGTACACGTGTTGGAAACAAGAAGCTGTAATGTGAGGAGGTGAAAGAAGTTATCTGCATGCTGAAGTGTATGAAAATGAACAACTTTTCTGTTTGGAGACTTTGCAGACGCAACACAAATTCCTCAGTGTGTTTTGGAGAATTGGCCATGGGCAAATTCAGCTTAGATCAGGTTTAAGTAAAGATAGTTAGCATGTTAGCATTGTTATTGTGAGCGTGTTAGCATGCTAAGACAGTTGACATTAACATTATACAGACTAAACATCAACATCTTAGCATTGTTATCGTGAGCATATTAGCATGCTAAGACAGTTGACATTAACATTATACAGACTAAACATCAACATCTTAGCATTGTTATTGTGAGCATGTTGTTAACAATAATTAAAATTCAGAGCTCATCCAGACTGTAATGTGAGTCAAACTGCCTTATTCCTGCTGAGCTGCAACACAATAGTAGAGTGTTGTCATGGACTGAGGTGTCGGATAATAGAAAAAAAAAAACCCGCTAGTCAGGAGTTTCAGGAGCAGTTTTAGCTCGCTGGGGTTGTCAAGGTAACAGCTGGCTCTCATTAACAAGACCTGTGGAAGTGAACCAGAAAACTTCAAGGTCAGATTGAAAATAATTACAGAGCAGCCGCGAAAATGTGTGATACAGCAAATCTAAACAGTCGTATCTGTGGCCGAGAAGTAATTAGATGTCATCTGACACGCTAACTGTTAGCAAGAGTTAGCGTCAGCGCGCGTTGCAAAGATATGGCTAGAAACAGTTGTTTTTGTATGTGTCTGTGTGTGTGTGTGTGTGTGTGTGTGTGTGTGTGTGTGTGTGTATCCCCACATGTGCACTCACACACACTCACACGAGCGTGTCGCAGCAGCAGCACTAATGACCCTCTCATTTGTACCGTCTGTGGAAATGTTTGGGTTGTAATATCTGAGAGAGCCGCCACGCTACAGAGAACTGTGGACTCATTCATGAGTTTCTCAATGAGCAGAGTCAGTTTTAACATGCATTCATGCATACATGTGTATGTGTGTGTACATTTGTCCAATCATACTTGTTTTTGAACACACACCATTTAATCTCCACTGGGCATTTAACATGCACAGAATTCCTGCTTTTATTTTTGATTTATTTTCTTTGTTTTTTTTCCCGCACTCTCTTTAGTTTTACTCTTGCACAAAATAAATGATGTGGTACAAACTTTCCAGATGTATTTTTTGTGTTATCTGATGGCTGACACGGTTCAAGTAGTCTGAGGAATAAAGAGATTTTATTACATTGAAGAAGTTGTTCAGACGAATGAGAGCAGATGCAAAATAAGATGTGTTTTGTTTTGTTTTTTTAATATTAATTACACTGTATTTGTCTTTCTTTTAAGATTCTCTGTCGTCTGGTGATGATGAAGACTATGATGAAGATCCAGAAGATGCAGGTAATGCAAATGGTGAATTCTTAATTATTCTTTTTTTTAACCACACCACACAGGTTAAACACTGTCATTTGCTTTTAGTTAAGTGGTATTTTGGAGCCAGCGTTATCAGATCATGATAAACAACCTTGTGTGACCTTTTGTGAATGAATGAATGAATGAATGAATGAAGGAGACACGACAAAGAACAGAAAGGATGGGTCTATTGAAAATGCCATTTCACCAGCCCTCACTATGGTTGTAGCTCTGTCTCTAACTTGGAAAGATGCCTAAAATTTCCATTGTTTATCCTCATCAATAGACATCAGCAATTTTACCACCTTTGTTTCTCCTGAACGTGTCAGTAGAATCACAAAGAGAAGAACAAAGCACCCTCCAGTCACATATTAACAGTATTCCTATCACATAAAACACCAGGCATTAATGTGTCCTGTCAAAAACACAACCTGAGTTCTGTGAAGGCAGCATGAACCACGTCGTTGAGCTTAACGAGCCGCACCTGCCACACACACACTGCTGGAAGGTGTTAACTGCTGTTAATGGGTCTGGGTTAAGAAGACACAGCTTTGTTTAAATGTTACTGTATATTGTTTTGCAACTTTATTTCCCTTCGATTGCAAAAGGATAGATTTTTATTCCGATATGGGACATATTAATATTAAAGGCTGTAAAGGTATAGATATGGATCCATCGACTGAACTAACCATAACCCCAACGCTTACTTAAAATGTCAGATACAGATTTATTTTGTCTTTTATTGGAGACCATAATTAGTTAGTATGAAGTACAAACAGCATATACAGAACTGACAAAGCAATGGCACCCAGCAGGAATCAAGTGCAGTATAAATTAATTGAACAAAGTTAGAAAATTCCTCAAGAAGGCATTTAATATGAATGTAACTTAGTTTGATTACCTGACTGCTATTTCATTTTAAAAAATTATAAACATAGATGGACAGTGTAAATCGTTTTTTTTCCAAACAAATCATGATACTTGCCTCCACATGGCTATTGCAAAGATTACAGACCATCTGATTCTTCATTAAGTCTTAATGTCTTCCAGTTACTTCTGCCGCCAACCCTGGATTATTAGCAAAACTTGATAAGCAAGTGAAAAGTGCACCCCAGTGTTTGCTGTGGTTACACTTGTGGTCTCCACGCATTATTTATGTTGTCAACATTTAATCTGCATTTTAGAGTTTGGGCTCATTTCACTTGTCGTGATAAAAAATGTTGTTTGTAGGAGCCACAAGGAAGTTGCTTTCACAGGCAACTTTGTGACAACTATTGGATTTATGCAGCTGATAGACTTACACGAGCACAATCTGAGTTTCATATCTGTGATTGGAATTATATGGCTCTTGTGTCTTCCTGTGCTCACATTAAAGCTTCTCCCTAGAGCTAAAAACTAAACGCCGCCGTCACACACATCAAAAGCCGGTGGTTCTCCGGCGGGGTAGCACCCCTCTCGGCGCTCTGTTGTGATGAGAGCTGCGTTGGCAATCGGAGACACGCGGAGTTCAGGTGCAGGTGAACAAAGAACAATGAGAGATGGCTTCTGCTGGCTGCGCACACTTTACACGCTCTGTTCTGTCAGCTAGCATGACTCCAGAGAGACAGAGAGCGTCTCCACCCCTCGGCGGGCTCTCGACCAGCCAGACGCCACACTGTGCCGCCTTTGTTGTATCGTACGGAGGGAGACAGCGGAAGGTGAGGCGCAGACAGTCAAAGGCAGACGAGAAAAATAACAGACATGAAATGATGGAAATACGGTGAAAGAGGAAGAGGTGACGGGATAGAAGTGAAGTGAGGGAGACAACAGGAAGCCAGACCGGGAAGCTGGGAAACTAACAGAAAGAAAGAGATAGATGTATGGATAGATTTAAGTTGATACAATTGATAAACACTAAACTTTCCAGTGAATTATATAACCATTTGCATACTTTGACAGTTCACAACAGTTCAAAGAAGAAAGATCCGATTAGACAAGTCTACATCTTGACAGTGGTTTGCAGCCGTTAGTGCAAAACTGGAAAAACTGCCAAAAACATGCCAGCAGTGTCAAACAGCCCATGATATCTTGAACTAAATCCCAGAACCTTAACTGCTCAACAGGATTGCTGCCAGAAGCGAAATGTGGAACTGTTTCTGTGACGGAGTGACAGGCGGACGCCAAGCCGAAATCAAAGGCCCTTTGTAAACGTCACTACAAAGCTCCGACCAAATCAAGTATCGTCGCACACTAGTAAAAAAAAATACTGAGACTACTAAAACAGCACAAATGCCCCATTAATGTTTCACCCCGTCTCTTGTCATCCAGCTACAATCATTACATTTCAAGAGACAGATATTTGACAAGATGGGCTAGCACACAACAAAGACAGATTTTCATAACCAGAATTGTGCGAGAATACTTACAGCTAATGGCTTTCTCAAGGACAAAGAAATCATCCTACAAAATAAAATCCCACAGAAAGGGAAACGCAACAATCCCAGAATCAACTGCAACAGCTTATATGTAAAACATACACAGACATACTGTTGAAAACCAACGCTTGTTACTCTTAGCGTGAACTATAAACTTAGTTCTCACTGAATCAGTCTACGTTTGGCTCGTGGGGAGAGAAACAAGGAGACGGCTTCATCCGGCTAACTTGATCCACTTTAAGTTCCGCTTCCACAGTCGGACAAATGAACACCGACAACCATCACTGCCTTAGATCGTGTCAGTCCACCGATCTTAACCATCACTAACCTCACAGGAAAGAGGATAATGTAGTTTAGAATCTAAATTAAGGAACAGAATACATTATGTATGTACTTTAGTTACCATTACTGCAATTATTCAAATTCTCTCAGTGAACCTGAGGTTATGTTCAACATAAATGTTATCATAAATAAATCTCATCTTACAATATCTTTGCTCAAACATCGAGCTTGTTGTTGTTCTGGTGATCTGGGTGTTTAAGATGCAGGCCCAGCTTCAGTCGGTCCAGGGACCTTGGTTGCATATCACACCCTATTTCACTTTTCCCCTCAGTTCCTGTCACTATCAAAATAAAGGTAAAAATGCCCCCCAGATATCTTAAAACGTGCTTTTAGTAAAGAAATCACATGAAGCTGTTCGGAGCCAGATGCTGATGACAGAATGCAAAAAGAGCTCTGACAACAACAGACTGTCAAAAACATGCAACAACTGTTGGTAAAGCTGGTGCTTGGAATAAAAAATAACTGTAAAGTCTCAGTTACAAGTCAAGTAATAACTTCTCATTTTCTCATTTTACCGCAGTGAAACCTCCTGATGTAGCACTCAATGGTTCAAGTGCTCAGTCATTTAATAAACGCAGGAGTCTCTGCTAATGTCTCTTGTTTTGGTGATATCACTTTCAACATTTAATCTCTTCATTCTGCTCACTTCAGATGCCGCAGAATTAAAAATGTAATCTTGCCCCGTATTCATATTTGCCTTTTTCTTAAGGCACTTAGCTGACGCTCTTATCCAAAGAGATTATAGGGGAAAAAAAAAAGCAGTAAAAAAGCTTCCTGTTGCTGTCTTTGTACTGTAAGTCGTTCTGGATAAGCTTAACGCCTGCAATGTAAAACCTGAATGTGTGTTGAATGTGCAGCTTTACTTCTTGGTGAAAGCCTGGAGTGTTTTCTAAACAGGCCAAAGTGGCAAAAGCGGCAGCGGCTTACTGCAGACATCCTGAATGCCAGTAAATAGCCTCAGACTGCCAGACTTAATCTCTGGATGTAAGTCTACCTCATGACATACGAGGCTCCGATTTCCTGGCCAAAAGGAGAGGGATTAGCCCAGAAACGCTAAACCCCTATCGCTGCTTAATGTCCGCTAAGCCACCGCTAATTAGCCGGCTGTAGCAGGAAGGAGCCATGTGACGAGCCACACAGCCAGACGGAGAGTCCCCGTCGGTGAGCGGAAGAGCATCCGCATCCACACACAGAGAGGACAATAACTGAGATGTGGAGACGGTGAAAGAGTCAGGCGATTAATGAGGGAGAGGGAGTAGAAAACATTTGCTGACTGACAGGCAGACGGAGAGAGTCGCAGGGCGAGCGGAGAGAAAAGAGAAGAATTGAAGAGTTGAGTCACTCGGAGCCGTCGCTGGAGCTGCCAGTTGAAATGATGCTGCTGGCCACAGCTGACTGTTCTCAGAGGAGAGACAAACAGACAGAGAGAAAGACAGACAAGCTGCTGCAGTCATGAGCTCATTCTCCACCACCTCCAGAACGCGCTCAGCTGTCTCCAAAGGCCCTCTGGGGAGAGGCAGAGAAGATATGCGTCCGCCCAGCAGCCACAGTAATTCCTGCGGAGACGACGCAGCGTATAAACGATGCTATCGACCAGTTTGTGAGATTGACACCAGATTTTGTGTTTCATTTTTTTTTTTTATTAGAGGAGAAAGACTGGTCAGCTGTGTCTGTTGCCTCTGTATCTTTCCAGTTTGCACTTAAATCTCGGGCACCTGCACCGAGTGAGCAGGTAAAGGTTGAGAGTGAATAGACGCTGACTTTCACACAAAGGAACCAAACTGTGAGGTCAACATGTGGCATTTCTGTTCTGAAAGGCAGCAGAAAGGAAACCACACGGGCTGAAGGAGTTGAAATTGAAACTTGTTACTGATAATAACATCAGCAAACAAGTCAAATCTCCCAACCCCAGAAAGGCCATCCTGTATTCATATAAATCACACGTCAGATATGCAAAATAAACTGCACAAAATGTTTAAAAGGCCTGACTACAACTATAGATGTAATAATAATAATAATAATAAAATTGCAAATTAAGTGTTGAACTGAAATGAATGAATGAATATTCTTGAATCAAGGTGTCATCTTGAAATATTTAGAACAGAACTGTGGAAAAGTGAAATACTTTAAACAACGCATCAGTTAAAGAGCAATAAATTCTCTTATGTGTGATGCATTCCTCATTTGCATTTGTCAGTAAAAAATATTTCACCTGTTTTGACTTGTAACTGT